GGGAGAGGGGCCCGGGGTCCCTGTGCTGTCCCTGGAGGGCTGGTGGGGGCTCACACACATCTGGTCCCTCAGCCAGGTGAGCCCAGACCCGCCCTGAAGCCGAGGAGAAAGACCCCAAGGGGAAAATGACACCAAGGAATGTCCTTTAAGCCAAGGAGGGGAGCATTCCCTTCCTTCCCATGGACCCTCCCCTTCCAGCAGCATCCTGGAGCCCCCAGGCCGGGAGGGGCGGGAGGAGCAGCAGGTCCAGGGAGCCCCATCCCATCCCAGGCTCCGGCTGCACCGACTCCCTGCACAGGTGACTCACTGCCCCCATGAATTAAAGATGGAGCTGCCACGGCCCCTGACAGCTGCAGGGGGAGGATCCAGCTTTTATTTCGGGCTTTTTTCACACCACAAAGCTGGTCGTGATCCAGGAGATAACAGAGCTCAGCCCCAGCAGCGCCGTGACGAGCATGAGGCCGGGGGCGGATGAGGCTGAACATGAGTCACTGCTGGCTCCTTATGAATGAGGGGTGGGAAGGAGGGGACAGGGCTTGGAGCTGGGGAAGAAGGAGCCGGAAGGAGGGGGGGAAGCAGGGAGGGGAGGGGAAGGGGCTTGGGCAAGCAGTGGCCTGGCCATGAGTGACACAGACACCTCCCAGGCCAGGGGCAGGTCCCATGGGGGCCTCTCTGGGGACACCCCAGTGCTCAGCATCCCACTGCAGCCCAGCTCCTCTGTGCTCCCAAAATCCAGGAGGGTGGTGAGGCCAGGAGCAGGGGGTGCCAGTGCCAAGGAAAAGGGCTGTCACCACAGCCCAGCAGGGCAGAGGGGTCACGACACCCTGCAAGGGGTAATAGAGCAGAGCCAGGCAGGCAGAGCAGGGGTCCCCACCGGGCTCTGCACCCCCCAACACCATGGGTTTGGTGCCAGGGACCCTTCCAGGGGGATGTTCAGGACCCAGACTACAAAACACCCCCAAGCTCCCTCCCGCTGCCCACGGCTGGGGCAGACTTGGGTGTCCCCCCTTCCTCGGGCAGCCCCCCCCGGGCCCCCCCGTGGTACCTGGGCAGAGCTCACTGCTGTTTGCAGGTGGAGAGCTTGCGGATCTTGCTGCTGGCAGAGCAGGCCTTGCGGGAGGGGTTGGAGGAGGCGCTGGCCCGGCGCTCGCCCTTGGCCCTGCTGCTCAGCTGCCCCGGCTCCGTCCCGTTCATGCACACGGCCTTGGGCAGCCCCTTGCCACGGCTCTGCCCGTTCTGCCCGGCCTCCTCCTCAGGCACCTGTCCTGCAGGGGAACGGGCACAGTGAGGGGCGGGCAGAGCCTTCCCAGCGCCCGGGAGGGACCTTGTTCCTGCAGAAACCCGAGCCTGTTCCTGCGCCCTCGAGGAGCGGGAGAGGGATCCCCAACAGGGGATGTGCAAGGCTGGGAGCCTGAGGCTGCACCTCCCTCCCTCCTCCCCCCAAGGACTGGTCTGACCCTCATTCCCCCAGCACACAGCAGCTGGTGGTTCCCAGTACAGGGGCACAGCACCACAAGGACAGTGTGTCCCCTCCTCCCTGGGCTGTCTCCGAGCCCCCCTGGACTCCCAGGGACCAGCCCAGCTGCTCTGGGGAGCAGAGGGAGGTGCAGATCCCAGCCCCAGGCACTGACTCTGGGGTGCCCAGGGGCTGGGTGTGTTGGCAGAATGGGGCAGTGCAGCCCCCCCTGGCAGGGCCAGGGCTTGGGTGTGTCACCATCCCTTGAGGGGACACCCCGATGGGGTGGGGGCTTCACATCAGCCCCTCTGCCTCCTCTGCTCCCTGTGACTCAGCAGAGCAGGTGAAGAGCCATTTCCAGAGGCATCTCCTGCTGCCACAGCCGGGCTGGGGTCACATCCCTGCAGCCAGGGAGTGAGGCAGGGATGTGGCCCCGGAGCACCCCGGGTGCTCCCCCAGGATGGGGGTGCAGCCCCAGCCCCACGCGGGGCTCAGGAGCGGCTCTGTCGGGCTCCCCCCCACCGGATCCAGCCGAGGCAATTTCCTTCCAGCAGGAACGTCACGCTCCAGGGCCCTTCAGTTATGACTCAGAGGTTTGAGTGGAAGCTGTAAGACGATTATGTATAATTTTCTTTAAAGGATGCTCAATCCTTTCTCCGCCAAGGCCGGGCGGGACGTCAGCTCCGCTTGCGCCAACCATCACCCCACTGCTCGGAGCTGGGGGGGCTCAGGGAGTGGGACAGACACTTCTGCTCTGGGGGGGCACAGCGGGGGGCCAGCTTGGACCCCTGTGCCTCGACACATCCCCGCTGGCACTGCTGCAGGTCCTCCAGAAACAGGGAGGGAGGGGGGAGCGGATCCTGGGTTACAGGTGCCATCAATTCCCTCTGGATCTGCCCCCATATCCCTTCCAATGGCTCCGAGTGTTGCCACAGCTCCCAGTCACTGGCTTGTGGCACTTACCTGAGTGCTCCTGCCCCGGGAAGGGACAGGGACTGGCTTTGGGCACCCAACCCTGGCACTGCCAGAGCCAGTGGCACTCACTGCGCTCCCAGGGGGGGTCCAACCCAGCACCCCCGAGCAGCACAGCTCCTGGCCAGGCTCACCACAAGGGACTGAGGTGATGGGGGTGCCTCAGCCCCCCCGGGGACAGAGGGGGTGCCCTGGGTGTGTGTCAGAGCCTCAGACGTGCTGTGGCAGTGGCTGGCACGGCAGAAGCACGGAGCTCACACCCCACTATTGATCCCACCATCACCTGATCCCTCTGGAGGGGTGATGGCTGGAAAGGGCCAAGGGGTCCAAGCTCTAGAAGAGGGGAACACGCTGGCCCCAGAGCCCCCCAAGGGCTCAGGGTAAGCAGCTCACAGGGGTCAGGCTGCAGCAACTCCCCAGAGCTCTGGGTTTTTCCTCCCATCCCTGCATCCCACCAGCACGTCTGCAGAGCCTCAAACAACCCCATTCAGAGCCAAGCTGAACACTTCTTCCCCTCCCTCGGCTGAGCTCGGGCCAAGTCAATTAACATTTCTGACTGGGGAGGGAAAAAAGGATCTATCCAAACAGCTCATTTGTCTTTTGTGTGACTCTTCCCTCCTCCCCTCCTTCCCTGCTTCAAAAGCACAGTCCCGGGAGTCTATTATGGATACCAAGGAGGGAGGTGAATCGTGAGCTAATTTTACCTCCTTCACCAATGACAGTTGCTGACGTTCAAATTAATGAAAATAAAAATTCAGCATGGGCTGAAGTCTTGGCAACTGCTGCTGCCCCCGCGGAAGCCGCTGACCCAGCGCTGCGTCTGCCCGAGCAGCTCCTGCCCACCTCACCCTCACCACGGGCAGGCTAAAAATAAAATAAATAAAGGGAGGGCTGAGAGAGGCACCGGGAACGTGGCTGCTCATCCCTGCCACCCCTCACATTCTTAATGGCTCTGCATCCAGCTCATTCAGGCACCAAAAAAGGTTTCAAAATAACACCACGAAGAGGTTTTGAATCGCTGTTTGTCAGAGTGAGCACGCAGGCACCAGAGCAGCCAGGAACACACCTTCCCGAGCACCAGGCTTGGTTTAAAAAACTCCAGTCCTGGCTGCATTGCCCAGCCTCAGACTGAAAAGCCCAGGAGCAGGCACTGCAGAACAGGGCTGGGGCAGAGGAGGGGTTAATGTAGGGGAGGAAAGAGCAGAGCTCGGCCTCCAAATCTGAGAGGCAGCACAAAAGCACTGAGCAGGACATTCACATCCCTTCACTGCACACAAGGATCCTGCCTTCGGGCCACAGCCATCCTCCCCTCCATCCTCTCCATCCTCTCCTCAGCACTTCCCTCGGATGGGATGTTTAACACCGATTGAACCAGGGGCTTGGAACATTTACATCTCCCCACAGAGCTGCATAAATCTTTAAATAACCCTTTAAAAATGAAAGCACTTTCTCAAAGCCCCTTCTTCCTCTGAAGAACACAGGATTTAATGAGGTTCCCTCTTACCCCCCCCAAACCCAGCACCCACCCCCACCTATGAGTCACTCACACTCCTGCTCTTGCTGCCCAGCAGAGCCACAGCTGAACTGATCCCTCATGCACAAGGGGTTTTAATTTATATCTTAACATGGCATCACTGTTAGAGATACAACACTGAGTAGGCTCAAAGGGATCCTGCAGGAACGCTTGGGTGAAAAAATTCACCTTTATTGCCTCTGCAAACCACACAAACCCTCCAGAGCTGGGGAGCCCCGGACAGGCCAGGCTGGGACCAGGCTCCTGGTGTGCAGGGGACACCCCTGTGTGCCATGTACCCTGAACAGAGTCACTGCAGGGCTCTGCTCCCAAATAACTCATTCTAGCAAAACTGGCCCTAACAATTAACTGTGCTGAACAGCAGGGTCCAGCAGCAGCTGTTCCTGGGAGAAGGGTGCCCAGCTGGCACAGGGATAATACAGGGAGGGGCATCCTGGTTGATCAAATCAAGGACCAAGGCACCCAGAGCACCAGGGCTCACTCACACCACTCCCTAACCAAGTCTCCTCCTCTGCTGAAAGGACTATTCAGAGCCTGAGGCCTTTCCCAAAAAGCTCTAAAAGGACAAAAAACCCCCAAAAGCCCAACCACTTCTGCCCTGCCCATTGCAGCATCCTTCTCCCCTACCTGGTACTGTGAAGTCCTGAGTGTAGATGATATCATCTTCAATGTCATACAAGTCCTCGTCCTCCTCCTCGTTGTAGCCGTGCAGATCCTCCAGGTAAGGCACCGCCGTCATGCTCCTCCACCGGTCCTTGCTCTCGGGGCTGGGCGGGATCGGCACCAGCGCCTCGGCCTGGGCGTGTTTCTTCCGGAACCAGCTGCAAGAGCCCGGGCACAGCTGGGTCAGGGCACGGGCACACAGGAGCCCCCACGCCCCATCCCACCCCAGGACTGCCAGGGACGTGCTTTGGCAGGCGAGGAGGAACAGCTCTGCCAGGAGCCAGTGCTGGAGTCTGCTCTGGGACACACTGGGGTGGGACAGGGGGGAGACAGGCACAGGGGGCAGCTCAGGGCCTGGACACAGAGCTCAGGAATGTTCTCTCCATCACCAACTCCAACCCAAACCACCTGTAAGTCAAAACACATCAGCAGAGCTGCTGGAGCTCCTGAGTTTTGTTGTCCAAGCAAGCAGGACAGGAGAAACTTCTCCTATCCTGAAGCTGAGGCTGATCCAGCCCAACAGACACCAATTTGCAGGATCCCAGTCTGAGGAGAGGGGCAGTTACTGCAGCAGTTTCCTCTAAAAGCCAGTTTGCACCAAGGCCACAGCAGAAACGTTTCTACTTTATCCTTTTATCCCCCTCTGTCTCAAGGGACTCCTATCACCACCAAAGCCCATCTGGCCAGGAAAGGATATCGGCTCCGAAAGCTGTTCTTAATCAGATCAGGAATCCAGCAGGCTGCTTCCCAGCAGCATCCCAGAGCCAGATGGGATAAACCTCTCAGGTTTTCATCGCACTCCCAGAGCAGGGCTCTGACTCCAGACTGTCTCTGGGGTGTCTCCCAGTGCTGCACGTGGGCACCCAAAGTTTCCTGGGAGTGCTGCTGGGGCCTCCACACTCGCAGCAAGCCCCTCAGTGCAGGTGGGAGCAGAGGTTCCTGCAGACCCAGGTACCTCTAACACACCTCTCCAGCCCACACACGCCCGATGGGACAGGAGTGATTCCCAGTCCACAGCTGGCATCCAGTAACTCCTGGCCTCCAACCACGGAGGAAGGCCTGAGCCAGCCCAAGAGCTCTCACCAACCTGAGCCATCTGGTTTTTATCACCCCAGTTCCAAATTCCTTTCAGGAAGGCAGGCTGAAGGCACCTCCTGCGCAGAGCTGTAATTATCATTTTGTTCTAGTCTTACACTGCTTTGACAGTCAGCCTGAAAAAAGTGGGATTCTAACAAAACTATCAGCAAAAGCACGGAGTGAGGAGATAAACAAATGGAAATGCAGCTACTGGGACAAATCAGGCAGGATTCAAGGGAGGGGTGAACTCTTATCCAGAAACTGCTTCACAATCAGCATCTTTAAACTGTTTTCTCTGCAGTGCTGGAGTTTTGGAGCCAGGCTGCAGCTCTGGGAGTCAGGCAGTGCCTTGTTTGCAGGCAGGAAGCTGGAATTTGTGGAGAGGGACAGAACTGCTGCAGATCTCAGCTGGCAAGTGTCACCTCTGTCCCCGAAGTGGCACTGCAGGGCTGAGCAAAGCCCACGCCAGCTGCCCCACCAGCAGGAAGGGAGCGGGACCAGCAAAGCTGGATTGTGGCCAAGGGCTCTTCACAGATCCCATGGATGGCTTCCCTGGTGACGTGGGTGGCACACAGCACTGCTGTGGGATCAACCCACCTCCCTTCCTCGGGACACTGTGCTCACTGAGGAAGTGGCTGCCAAGACAGTAAATCCAGCCTGGGCTGATCAGGCCTGGAAGGATCATCAGCACAGGGACAGAGGAACCAACAGCCACCAGCTGGTTTTGCCAGGGGCACTGGGGCTTGAGGGATCCAAACTCAGCACCAGAGACCTCGAGAGAAGGGAATATCCAGGACTAATGAGATCAGAGTGGCTGCTGCTAAGAGGAGAATTTTAAAGGGAAAGAGCCTGGAAGCCTACAGCACCCGGTGTTTTTATTTTGCTGTATTTCAGCTCTGCCTCACTCTTCCCTCCTGTCCTACTTACCAGGAGAGTAAAAATAGGTTTTTATTAGCAGCAGAAACCTGAATCACTGTACTCCAGTCATTATGCTTCCATCCTCCGGGAGGTGATTTCAAACACTTGCATATGCATATATGGTAATGAGGACAGAGAGTGAGAAGAGAAATCCATTGAAGTTCTAAGAAAAATCAAAGACCTCTTGGAAGGAGCCTCGAGCAATTCTGTGCAGAGTAGCAGAGTATTTCCTGGCAAGGATTTTCCAGCAGGGACAGACATTCCACTTTCTGCACTGGTGCTGGAGGTTGTCAGTGAAGATTTGCCTTTCAGCTGAGGACCACTGGCTCCAGCAACACCCTGATCTGCCTCGGGAAGCCACTGGTCACTGCCTGAGCCAGAAAACAGCAACTCCTGGGCAGAGATGGCGATGAGACAAAGCCCCTCTTCACCCTGCCCTTACCACCAAGGCAAAACACCAGCTGGGTCAGAGCCCTGCTGAGGAGTGCCCTGTCTCACCACTTATTCCCAGTTTCAGGGATGTTTTCTGAGCCAAGTCCACTGGCACACACAGTTACCTGGTGCTTGTGGTGGCTGCTTTAACCCTGAGGGGGAAGAAAAGATTTCTGGTATCTTGGAAGTACCCCTTGTCCAGAACATCCCCTGGAAGAGGCAGATTCCTCTCTCATCTCTGTTCCAAAGGGCTGGGAGTGGCTAAGAAACGTTTCAGGGTGAAGGCAGCAGTAGTAAGAGATTATTTCTTCCTACTCCACAAGCTCATTGAGGCACCTGCAAGCTCAGAAGCCCTGGCCAGCAGTGGCACAAGTGTTAATTGTGATCCTGCCAGGCAGCAGTGGGGCCCAGACAGCTGCTGTCAGCCACGGGGAGATAACACAGCAAGGGTCAAGGGCTGAAGGAAAAGAGGAATCTGGGTTGCCCAGTGCTTAATGAGCCCGTCTGGTTTGCAGCTCCCAAGCTCAGATCTCCCATCACAAGTCCTCTCTCTGCTCTTTTCAAGTTCTGGCATAAGCAAGGTTAAATGAAGAATCCATAAGCACAGCTGCAGCTTTTCAGCACTCCCAGCCATCCACTCCCCACTGGGGTCACAAACTCACAGTTTGCTTGGTTTGTACATGGGTGATTCTGCCTGAGAGCAGATGCCAAGCTGCAGATCCCTGCCCTGCCAGCCAGGGTTGGGATGAGCCATTCTCCACCTCTCCTGTGATGCCATGCAGGGGCCTCAAGCTCACTGGGAGGTCACTGTCACCACGAGCAGCAGATAACAGGGGTCCAGTTTAACTCAGTCCCCTCACAGGCAATTGTGGAAGGCACAGGGAAAGGCACCACATGTCTCTCCTTCCCTCAGAAGCAGGCACAGGAGTCCAAGAGCACAGTCAGCACCTGCAAAGGAGCATCCAGTGGCACCACACACAGATTTCCAAGGGGTTCAGTACCCAGGCTGGAGCAGCACAGCATCCCAGAGTGACTCTCCAAACTCCTGCAGAGAGCAGGAGTGCTGGGGAAGGTGGCACAGCAGCCTCCAGGAGGGCAGGAGGAGACCCCAGCCCAGCAGGTTAATTTGCACCTCGGCTAATAAAAGGTGGAAGTGCCTCCCCTCTCGTGCCATGAACTCCTGCAATCGGATCCACGGCTGAACAAATTAAGTGTGACACTTGTGGAGAGGGAAGGGAAGATGGTTGCCTTGGAAACAAGGGACAGAGGTAGAATTCTGCATCCACTTCATCACTTTAAGTGCTGCAGCAGGTCAGTGAATTAGTTACAAAATGCAGTGTATGAGCATGAAGCCCTTCAGCAAAAGCACAGGGCAGAGGGGAGGTGGTGGATAATCCATAAAGGAGCAAGTTGGAACTCCCTGGCTCTTGGCAGCTTTCCCTTCCCAGCCCAGGAGCACCAAATATTCCCAGAGGTGAGCTACGAGCATCAGTTTCCCACTGAACATCATCCCACCTGGATCCTTCCAGGGAGAGCAGGTTTCCAGGCTCTTCCAGTGCTATTCGGGGCTGGGAGAGGTTTAACTCACTTCCATTTACAACTCCAGGTCTGACCTGCACGAACTGGGTTGAGCAGAGCAGCACATCTTGCTTTGTCCTGCTCCAGCAGAAGTGCAGGGACAGGAGCCTGATGCAGAAGTTCAGCTGCAGGAGTGAGGAGGGAGGAAGGCAGCTGGCAGGGATGAAAGTCAGCACTCTTCCTCCAGCATTCCTCAGCCAGGGCTGCTGCTTCAGGGGGAAAAGCATTTGGAATAGCTGACAGGAATAACGGGAGGAATGGCAGGATCACTGCTGGGCAGTAACAGGAGCCTGGCTGCCTTCCCTGCCTCCTGCAGCTCCACAGAGCACTCTGTGCTCCCTCAGTGCCCCTGAGCCACTGGATTTACCCCTGATCCCACTGCAGGAGCCCTCACACTTCATGGCAGGTGAAGTGGGGGAGGATGGACCCCGAGCACCAGCTCTGTGGCTGCAGGACACCCGCTCTGTGATGCTCCCCTTGGACTCCCCTCCCCACAGGGCAGGGGAGCATGGCCCCTTCCCCTCACCCTGACACCAGCCTGGCCCAGCAGCGTTTGGCTCCAAAGCAAACCCCCTGCCTGGGGCCCAGGGGCTGTTCCTGCTGCTCTCAGAGCACTTTGATGATCCCGACTGTCCGTGTGAGCCAGGCCCAGGAACAGCAGCTCAGAGACATAAAAGGAGACTTCCAGCAGCACGGAAAGACACCGGGTGATTCTGGTTGGAGCCGGGATCCATCCCAGCAGGGCAGCCTGGGGAAGTCTCTTGATGTTTTTCTGTCTAGTTCCTGTGCCTCAGCACACGGTTTTGGGGGAGGAGTGTAGAGAAACCCAAAATCATTAATGACTTACTCCCTCCCCCGCTCCAAAATCTAAAGATTCTAGAAATCAAATCTCTTCTTACTAAAATGCTTTCCCAAAACCCTCTGACAATATCCAGTGGCCGCCTGCTGTCCTGACTGCTGCGTTCCATTTACAAAAAAATCAGGGTCAGGTTAAGCATCAGGGCTAAGCTTCTATTTAAAGAAAAGGCAGGAGAACCAAGCTCTGGATTCTTTAGCACAAAAAGGAGCTGGACAGACACATCCAAGGCCCAAGGCTGCAGGCTCTGCTGTGCTTGATGTAATTATTAGATGCCACAGCAGGAGGAAGGAGGCAATTACTAATAGGGGAGAAAAGCCTGTTAAGAAGCACTGGCTAAGCTCACACAAAACTAATAAGAGCCTAAGCCTTCAAAATGCTCCTGGGTTTGCAGGTAGAGCCTTTCCTCAGCCCCTCTCAGTGCTGTGGGATGAGAAGCCTGGGCACAGCAGCTGTGCCCATGGAGCAGAGGAGCTCCACAGCTGCCCCGTGCCAGAGCCCTGCTCCAGTTTCTCTGGCTTTCTAGCTACAGGCAGGGTCTCTGGGGACACCTCTGTGCTTCCAGCTGGGCAACACTGACACAGAAACTCACTGCCACGGGGGAGGAGGATAAAATGGAGTACCTGGGCTTGGGGAACCAGCTCAAACACCCAGCAGTGACCCAGGAGGACCCAGGGCGGTGCCCAAGCTCAGGGGCAGCCTCTGCACCCACAGGAAAGAAAGTGCTTTTAGTGCTTTTCTCAAGGCCTATTGATGACTCCACAGACTTAATTCCTGCTTCTTTCCAGTGTTTCCTGACAAAGCATGGGTTTGCCTGCATGGCAAGCTGATCCCCTCTGGTTGTGGCCACTGGTGCAGGGGAAGGCAGCCCTGAATGGCAAATGCCTGTGCCCGCCATCGCCCAGAGCCCTGGAACTGCCCAGGCACGGGGCCTGGCTGCTATTAAGGAGTCAGCCTGGCTGTTTAATTAACTGCCTGGGCAGCTCTATAAGCCCTGCTCCCCCAGCCCTGCTCCCCTGGCCCCTCTGCTCCCTGTCAGGGGTCTCCCAGGTTCTGGCTGTGGCTCCTCGGACACCTCCCAGGGACCATCCCCTGACAGCAGCACATGGCTACAGTGGCCAGGCTTTTCCAGAGACACAAAACAGGAAAGCAGCGCTGTTCCTGCAGCACAGAGTGGGCTCAGCACCATCCCAGATCACATCCTTGCTCTTCCATGGCTCCCAAAAGGGCCTGGGCAGGCTCACAGACAGCGCCTGTGCCGAGCAGCTGCGGTCCAGAGGCTGCTCTGCCTGTCCTCAGAAGCACTTCCCATTCCAAGAGGAGATAAACTGGTGCAGCCTCCGCAGCAAAGCATCCTCATGATGCTTTTTGTTCTTGTACTTTTATCCGCCCAGGAAATCTCTGCTCAGAGCCAGCGTGTTCAAACAGATCCTCAAAAAAGCCTCAGCGATAACGGGGCATTTCCCCCCGACTATGGCACGGAAAACGGGGGAGGATACGGGGGAGGGAACACTGGGATATTAAAGAGAAAGAAAAAAACCAAACCTTCCTATTGTCCTGAAACGCTTCTCCACATATTGATTCCACATGGAGCAGATACCAGGGGATATTTCTGCCCCCAGACTGGCCAGAACTAACACACGTTACTGAACGGCCCTACTTCAATAGCCCAGCTTTCAGGAGCCCCTGTTCCGCTCCATTAGGACTTGCTGGCCTCTGGAAAAAATTATCCAGAACCCTTAATCATCCAGAAGCAGGCACACCACAAACAGACTTCCAACATGTTCCTTATTTACCGGTCAGCAATTCCACTGCTTTACCGGATGCTCTAATAGGAGGAAAAAAGCCAAGTGGAGGTTGCCAGAGCCCCAGCAGAGCTGGAGGAAGGAGACTGAGTGACTTCCATGTGTCTGCTGTCAAAAGGAAACAGGAGGTGAGAGTAGGAGCACAGGTACATGAGCAGGAAGGGAATAACACTCACTTGTGCTGCCTTATCTGCTGTATTGAGAACCTCTTGGCTGGGTCGTATTCCAGCATCCCTGAAAAGAAGCAGAAAAGGCCAGGTGTGATCACGGGCACTCCCAGCTGAGCCAAGGCCAGGAAGCACAAAGCTCTGCCCTCCCCTCCCCGCCCTCCCTGCCAGCCATGCTGTGCCCAGTCCTGGCAGCTCCAGGCAGGATCTGCTGCATCGGGCACGGGAAGCTCAGCACAAAATCCCAACCCCATCACTGACACCTGAGCCAGTTTGTCCCTCAGTGTCCCACCTGCAAAGCAGATCCAGCCCTTCCCTCCCTCCTGGTGCAGGGACTGAGGCTCCTCCAGCCCTGGATCACAGGTCCAACCATGTCTCCAGGCAAAGAGCATCAAGACTTAGCATTTCACAGATAATTCCATTGAACTTTCTCCATGGAAGAGCCAAAGCCTCAGGCACAGCATATGTCCAGTTGCTCAGTGTCCCAGATACTCCAGTCTAGTGGAATTATATTCTGAGACATAGTCAGATAGAACCTACTGCCCATCCTTGTGCCCTGGCCAGGCTTGGATTTCTGGGGTCATCTGAGGGAACTGGGTGGGGGTGAAGAAAAGCAGCTCATCTATATTTTCTCTGGGAGAGAGGGAGATGGATTCCTTAAACAGCCTCCCAGGGTGCCCACTCTGCCCCACTGCCTTTCAGAAGCTTCACAGCTCAACAGAAGGGAAGGAGCAAACTTTGCCATATTCTTCAGAAATGAGCCAATGGGACCACAGGAGCCTCATCCAGCAGCATCCAAGATATTCTCCAGTGAAAGTTCCAGGAACATATTGACTGTCAGACAGGAGTTTGGAAAGTCAGGACTGGAGCAAACAGTGCAGAGGGCTGGGGAGAGCCAGGGTAAGGACAGAGAGAGAACACAGGGATGGGAGATACATCTGGATGGACACTTGGAAAGGGGGGTCTGGAAAGAGACATCCTAGTTCAAGCAGGAAGCTGCAAGGGCCTTTTGCAGGTTAGATGCTGCAATTCAAAGGTCATGGAAGAGATAAATCACCAGAGCATGTGTGGTAACCAAAGCTGCTCCAGGATATCTTCCCTGTCAGGCCGTTCTCACCACACCCCTGACAGTAACACGGGCAAAGAGGGGGGACAGGACAGGGCAGTGAGGGAGGGCTGAAGTTATGTTCCCCCCCAGAACCCCAAACACAATTTGCCCTGGCAATTTGGGAAGGTTTATCTGTGCTGGTGACAGCACTAAGAGCTTTAAGGCAGATGGGATCACTACTGACCCACATGACAGCACGTGAAGTGGGTCAAAGAAACACGGAAGGAGCTCTCCAGGTTAGAGGTCAGGTGCATGCCAGGCCCCTGGCTCAGGAACTTGAGGCACTGGAGTCCTCAGAGTTTTGGATTGTTTGGATTGGGTCTGGAATGTCCCAACATCCCCCCACGCAGCCTGTTCCAGAGCTCAGCCCTGGCAGCAAAGGAGTTTTCTCACGTTCAGATGGAATTTCTCCTCACCTCAAGTTCAGAGCAAAAAAAAATCCTGCACCTAATTAAAGGACCTATTAATAAGATGATCAGACAGCAGTTTCACAGCTCAGCTGCCCAAATGAGTTGTTTTTTTTTTTTTTAAAGAAATAGGACTGCAAAGAGCTCTTACATGAACTTTAGGGGACAAGAGCAAGTGCTGGCTGGGTTCTCTTATTAATGTCATCAGAAACAGGGAACTCAGGGCACCACCTACTCCCCCAATTTATTTATTTAAAGACCACATTTCAAGGTGTTTTTGAAATTTAAGGCATCTACCAGATGAAACCGGTACAAGCAGAGGAAGAATTTTAAAGTCAATGATTAAAAGAGGCCCAAGAGCAGCAGTTAGAAACAGCCACAGCACAGGGAGCTGTTGCTCTCAAGCCATTAAAAAGGCAGGAAGAAAATAACTGACGAAAAAGAGTATTTACTTGAGTGAAAAACGACCACACTCGGGGCAAGGTTTGAAAGAAAATGGAAAGTCTCCTCGCTGAAAATGTGCACTCGTACATTCAGCTCTGAGTCAGCCGTGGCAGCTCCGTGGCTCAGGCCCTGCACTGAGGAGAGGCTTCGTCAAGACAAAACATCATGTTCTATTCACCAGGCAAGTCATCCCGCAGCTCTGCCCGCGGGAGCTCGCTGCCATTTAGGGTAAAGCCTTCCCTGAGTTTATCTGCACGGGGATGGGACAGGCTGTGCCAGGGCCATGCCTCCGGAGGCCCAGCCCCAGCCCCTGCTCCTCGGGATTCCCGGAGGAGTCGCTGTGCCCATACATGGGCTACCACAGAGCCACTGGGGCTGCTAAAGCCCTCCGAGGTCACAGAGCCCCCCCTGTGCCCGGTGCCCACCTTGTCACCCAGCCCAGAGCACTGAGGGCCACCTCCAGTCATTCCTTGGACACCTCCAGGGATGGGGACTCCAAACCTCCCTGGGCGGCCCCTTCCAATGCCTGACTACCCTTTCCATGAGGAAATTCCTCCTGAAATGTAAAGTCCCCTCATCGAGGGCGTATCAGACATTAAACTGATAAGAACAGACACCACACAGTCGTACCCACACGGGGGTCTCGTGCCCACTGCAGCACCTCCACAGCCTCAAACCCTTCTCCAGTCATGGAAAGTGGCAGTGCAGGGACTGGAGAGCAGGGATCTGCCCCCAGCCCCTCCCAGCCCCCAGCCCACACATTCCATGATCCCGGACAGGCACAGCACTACAGCCTGGGCCAGACTTCTTGGAATTCAGAACACAGCACAGCTTCAGGTACGGGACTGGAGAAGCAGGAAGAGATCCAGCAGCAAGGTTAATGAACTCACCCTGGATTTCCCTTCAGCCTCCAAGTTGGATCAACATTTAAACAAGCACTATAAAAGCAGTGTGAGGCCAATCTGTAAATGGAGACAGGACTTTCTCCCTCTCCCTCACCCTGCACACACTCAGCCGGGTGTTCCGGCCACAAACTCCCTCTGCAGGCAAATCCCGGGCCTTTGATCCAGCACAGGCCTCTGGATGGGCACAAACACCCTCCTGCCACCTCCAGGGGCTCCTGCCATGGCACAATTAAAGCATCCCACTGTCACCAGGACACATATCCTCTCGCTGTCCTGCCAAGGAAAGGTCACAGCAGTGAGGAAACAAACTGCTACGGAACCAACCACCATGTCCCAGGTCACAGGGCCTGGAAATCAATTCAGATGCTGATTAATGCAGAGCTGCAGCCTCAGAGCTTCCTCTTCCAGTAAAAGTCTATTACCAGGAGGAGGAAAGCTGACCTTGTGCATTTTTCTGGTCCAGAAGCAAAGTGCACACAGTTGATAAGCCATGGGCAGATGCTGCCAGAAGAACCTTAAGGCTATTTATAAACTCTTCCACTCTGACACATCTCTCCTGACTGCACACACAGAGCTGCACCAGCCCTTCTCCTTTCCATCCCTGAAGAGTATAAATAAAGCTTCATCCCTGATTAGGGAGACAAAACGAGGAGCAGCATCCCAACTAATCTGTGGGATATACTGTCATGAGAGTCTCTTCACAAGCCAAATACCACAGAAGCTTTAAGTCCTCTAAACTCTGCTCTTCTGGAAAGGGGAACAAAGATAAAAAAAAGCTCAAGGGGAAGAAAAAGTAAAGAAACACTACAAAAGTGGTCAACGGAGGAACAGGAAAACCTTAAAAAGTGTGTTTGTGTTTTCTTCACAGCCCTACAGGGCCTGTGGTCAGCACAGCCCCCGCAGACAGAGGAAATGAGCACTTAGCAGCACTGAATTCTGCCTCACGCCAGACCCAGACCAAGCACTCGAAGCTCTGCAAGGGCTATTAGAGCCTTTCAAAGCAACACAAAGGCAACATGAAACCTCCAGTGAGCCAGAGCTGAGCTGGGGGTGCCTGTGCTGCTCACACAACCACAGCCACCAGCCACTGACAGTGTCCAACCTGCAGGCACTGGATTCAGCTCCTGCTCGCTGCAGGAGGAGCAGGCACTGACCAGGAAACGCAGACCTTCTGGAGGAAAAGCAGGAACTAAATAAAGCAGCCAGGTTTGTCACCATAGCTACCCAGAGCCACCACTGCACAGCTCAGCCCTGGGCCTCGGCAGGTGCTGGGGAGCTGGTCAGGCCTCCACAGTTGGGGGAACTGGGGCAATCCCACCCCAGGATTCACCCACTTCGAGGCCACTGGCAGTCTGACCACTGGAAAATGTGTGTCACACCAAGAAAAGAGGAGTATCAGGAGGTTTTGCCAGCTTTTACAATGTACCACATGCATATGGCAAGAAGAGAGGTGGGAGAGTGTTCTCAAGTGGGTGGGAGGAGAGGAAAAGGGATCCTTAGGGCTTCCCACTGCCCTGGAAGAAGGGGACACATCCACCTCCTCCCAGACAAGCTCCTCTCCCCACCAAACCCACCCAACTGGCACTTCTGTGGTGCCCAAGTACAGGAGGGATGCAAAGAGCCAGCCAGCAGCAAGGGTGAAGGAGATTCAGGCTGTGAGACACGGACAGAGGGCACCAGGTACAAGGCTCCTCCATGTAAAACCAGGCAGAGGGAAGAGCAGGAAATTCTGACTCCAGATCTTACGCAGGGGTGGAAAGAGAACTAAAAAGGGAGTTATTGTGCTAATGAAGCACAAGACTTTAAGCTGTCAGTATGCTCAGCACAGGAAAAAGAGAAAACTGCCACGCTCCTTTTCCCTGGGGGAAGCACTAAGTGCAGCTGAAAGGCTGATCAGAAACCTCCAAGGAGTTCTGCTGGATGCTTCAGGAGAGGGGCAGCTGCTCCAGCCGGACCGCGGGATTTACTCCATTTGGGCACTTCCCAGCTCAGAAAGAGGCTGTGTTCAGTCAGCAGCCACAGAGCACAGGCCACAGGGAGCTCAGGACACCATTCCCTGGGGCAGGCAGCTTTGGCAGGAAGCACATCAGGCAGTGCCTGGCCGTGAGCAGTCGGACCCCGGCTGTGCCGAGCGCCGTTGGAAGCGCTGCCTTATGTAATGCCTTGGGAGAGCTGCTAAAGCTGGCTAATGCCTTTGGAAGCACATGGAAATAACTGATTTCATCGCTGGCACGGGGCCAGGGAAGCTAAAATAGCCTCTGAGGGGGCCTGCGGGGGGTCTGGCACCTCCTCGGTGCCGGGTCCGGGGAGCCCCGGCAGCGGCGCTGGAAGAGCTCGGACTGACAGCACCACCTGCCGCCGGCACGGCCGGCACCGAGCCAGGAGCTGCACTGAAGCCTTGTGGTTCCCTGTACAGAGCCTGTGTGAGCCTGTGTCCCTGCATGGAGCCAGGAGCCCTGCATGGAGCCTGTGTCCCTGCACGGAGCCAGGAGCTCTGCACTGAGCCTGTGTCCCTGTACAGAGCCTGTGTGAGCCTGTGTCCCTGCATGGAGCCAGGAGCCCTGCATGGAGCCTGTGTCCCTGCACGGAGCCAGGAGCTCTGCACTGAGCCTGTGTCCCTGTACAGAGCCTGTGTGAGCCTGTGTCCCTGCATGGAGCCAGGAGCCCTGCATGGAGCCTGTGTCCCTGCACCGAGCCAGGAGCCCTGCATGGAGCCTGTGTCCCTGCACAGAGTCTGTGTCCCTGCACCGAGCCAGGAGCCCTGCACGGAGCAGGAGCCCTGCATGGAGCAGGAGCCCTGCATGGAGCAGGAGCCCTGCACTGAGCCTGTGTCCCTGTACAGAGCCTGTGTGAGCCAGGAGCCCTGCACGGAGCCAGGAGCCCTGCATGGAGCCTGTGTCCCTATACAGAGCCTGTGTCCCTGCATGGAGCAGGAGCCCTGCACTGAGCCTGTGTCCCTGTACAGAGCCTGTGTGAGCCTGTGTGAGCCTGTGTCCCTGCACCGAGCCAGGAGCCCTGCATGGAGCAGGAGCCCTGCACAGAGCCTGTGTCCCTGTACAGAGCCTGTGTCCCTGCATGGAGCCAGGAGCCCTGCACCGAGCCAGGAGCCCTGCACCGAGCCAGAGCCAGGAGCCCTGCACGGAGCCAGGAGCCCTGCATGGAGCCTGTGTCCCTATACAGAGCCTGTGTCCCTGCATGGAGCAGGAGCCCTGCACTGAGCCTGTGTCCCTGTACAGAGCCTGTGTGAGCCTGTGTGAGCCTGTGTCCCTGCACCGAGCCAGGAGCCCTGCATGGAGCAGGAGCCCTGCACAGAGCCTGTGTCCCTGTACAGAGCCTGTGTGAGCCAGGAGCCCTGCACGGAGCCAGGAGCCCTGCACGGAGCCAGGAGCCCTGCATGGAGCCTGTGACCACTCAGCTTTCACAGGTGGAGACTGTTCAGCACTAAACCTCAAACTGCTCCAATGAGGGACAGCAAGAAAAAAACCAAGAAAAACCTCAACCTTCTCCCCAGAAAGTGCCATTCTGGGTCCTACCCCAGCCCTGCTGTGAAAGTGAAACCTGTCACTTTGCTCCAATATCCTGCAGCTCTGAATCTGGGGGGAAGGAGGACAAGTGGGACTGAGACAAATAAATCCAGAGCAGAGGCTGATGAGGAAGGACAGCAGACCCCGAGTACTCAGTGTTTCACTTCAGGGAAAGCCTGGACAAGGCATCTGAGTGTTCTCACTGGCAAAACCTGTATCAATGCTACAATGCCATTTTAAATTTAAATTTCAATTTGTCTTTAGGTGTAAAAGCTTCTCAGAGCACAACATAATGCAAGAACCAAGGACTGCAAGAGCCATGCAGGAGTTAGTGGATCTCAGGAAAATACCAGTGCTGAAGATCCTTCAGAGGCTGTAAGCACAACCTCCCTGTCCAACAGGATCCTGCATCTCCACAGGACACCTGGAAGGAAGCTCTGCCTGGCACTGTGCAAGCTGCATCTATAAATGTCACTAAATCTATATTGTTGCATCTATAAATGTCACCCTTTTGGAGCCACCTGGGAGACTCACCTCTCAACAAGTCCGAGAGTGGAGGACCACAATCCTCTGGAATTGTGTAGTCGCCTTTCCCGATGTTTTCAAATAATTTATAGATATTATCCCCTTCAAAAGGGTACAGACCCGTTGTGATGTTGTATCTGTGGAGGCAGAAGGAGAAGCTGGATGAGAAGCAGCACACAGGTACTCATTTCTTACATGGCTATGTAAACCAAAAGGAGCCAAGAGGGAACCAAAAGAGGAATATTTGACAGTATGTGGAATGTCTCTTTAAACTTTGCCTTCCTTCATCACAGCTCGTCATTCACACAAGCCAAAACCACCAGGACACCTCCCTGACAGCTGGGACAGCAGAAACTTTAAAATAAATACTTGTGGTTTCTGTTGTTGCAGCAGCTGTGCTTCTGGGTGCTGAGCAACAGCTGCAGAGTCACTCACAGAGAGAAAAGATGACCTTCTGCAGAATAACAGGTACTTTGGGGAGCATAACCCCCCCCCAGGAGGGACCAGTACTCCCCTCCCTGCTCCCCCAACACACAAGAGCAGCAGTGACAGCCCAGGACTGAGCTCCCCGGGGGTGTCACTTGCTCTCCAGTCCCTGGGGGCTCGGGGCACTCACAGCGTCACCCCCGCGGACCAGATGTCGACTTTAAAGCCTGAAAAGGTGTCGAGGCCGTTGGCAATCTCGGGGGGCTGGAATGCTGGCGACCCTTGGCTCGTCCTGCACGTGTCGTCCTCCGCAAACGGATGCAGTGCCTGCGGGAGAGACCAGGGTCAGGCTTCCAAGGAAAACAAACTGAGCCTTGGAAAAGTTCCACCTGGGAAACAAAAGGGGAAAACTCCTCTACTGAACATCTACAGATGATGAGAACGTGCCACCACAGCAACCACACACCCCAGAGACAAGCCCTGCACCTCTCCCACCCAGGACAGACCCCACACAAAAAACAGGGCAAGGTTATGTAGCTTATCCCCATTTGCCCCCACTTTTGGGCTCGTCCAAGATTGATGTCTTCCTCTCTGTGCTTCCTGAGTGGAGGTTTCATGCTGTTACCAACAAAAGTGCTTTGCCAATTGCAATAAATATTCAGAGTCACTCAGAGCGCTCTGCGAGCGCAACAGAACAAAAGCCTGAAAGCACAATAAATCAATGACACCACAGAGGTGACCTCAATCCAGAATGTCCCACTGCTGCACTTCTCACATACCTCTGCTACACCTAAATCGGATATTTTTAGTGTCCCATTGGTTGTTAGCAGGAGGTTCCCCGGTTTGATATCCTTGTGGACAATCCCTTGGCTGTGCAAGTATTCTAAGCCATCTATAAGCTGACAAAAGTACCTGCAGAGAGAGGCAGAGGGAAAAATCAAACACTTTTAGCCAGTAGAAAGGAGCTTTTTGCTGTGCTCTCGGTCAGAGACTCTGGGCTGTCACCAGCACTGCAGCACAGCCTGGCAGCAGGCAAGTGTTTCATCTCATAATACCCAGAAATAGTATTAGTGTGCCTGAATTTCACTTAGGCTGTCTGTAATCCCAGAGATCTCTTAAACAAAATGAAAATAAGACCAGAAAATTATGCGGTTGCCACAGGTTTGCTGCTCTGCCCTGGTTTGACCATGACTATCTTCTATTCCCAGAATTTTCAGGTCTCTTTCCTTGCAGAGTGAAAGGGGCTCCAGCTTATCCTGTCTGCTAACTAACCAGGCTAAGAGATCATGCTGGATATTGCCAATCCCTAATCCATCCCAAGGCCTTTAATCTCTCTTCTGATGCTGAACTGTGGCTTGGCCTCCGTTTAGGCAGGGCAGGAGACTCCCCCCTTTGCACCCCTGGGCACTGCAGGAGGACAAGGGCCAGGAAGGGCTGTTGGGCAGCTCAGGGAGTTAAACAAAAGTAACAGAAAATCAACAGAAACATGGTCTTCCTTCCCAAAAATCTAAGGACAATCCCTGCCACCACTTCAAGAGCTTTTCACTTTTTGCATGGGTGTGAAAGATTAAATCACTGCACAAAGCCAGGTTTGCTTTCATGTGCAGCCTGAGCAGAGCTCTCCAGCTCAAGAGAGCACAGTGGTGAGAGGAACCAAACTTACCCGTGAGCCTGAAACACTGGAAACCTCTTTTCTGGGACACTGTCCAGCATCTCCTGCATCCCACACACACAGTACTCCATCACCATATACGTGAAGGCAGAGTTAAGGAAGCTCCAAGGCTGAACACCCCTCAGGAGGTGCTGTGTGAGGGCAAAGCCCCGTCCCAGAGAGCCAAAGCCCGAGGGGCTGCACTCCCCAGCTGCTGAGGGACCTTCCTCCAGCTCCCACAGGAGGGGGAGGCACCCACGGAAAACCCTTCTGGAATGACCCACTGCAGCTGCAGCATCGGGCCTGGGACAGGACAGGAACTCCACAGGAGCCAAACTGGAGACCTCACAGGAATAACAGAAACAGGGGAATACCCTGAAGTGGCTTTGGGGTCCCTTTCAGCCCAAAGCAGTCTCTGATTCTATGACAAACACAGCTGAAGCCTGCAATGCACTTCCACCAGCAACAGGGCACCCAGGTGGGAACAGAATCCTTCCCTCCACAGCCCCAATTTCCAGTGTCACCAGCACTGGGAGGAGCAAACTCAGAGAGTGGAGGAGCAGATACAGACAAAAATGGCAAAGTCAACCTGTACTTGCAAGGGGAAAGTACTGAAAAACAACATGTTCTTCGTGGACCAGCACTGCTTGGAGAGTCCAGACAGGAACATCCCCAGAGAGCCCCCATTTCCCAGTGACAGTTCTGGGTTGTCATCACCTGGTTCCGACACACGATGTCTCTCTCGGGCTCCTTTTCCCCTCGCTGCCTCCTCCCTTCTCCCTAATTAAAGGCATCTCTCTCTCCCGGTAATTGACTCGCTGTCCCCCCTGTCTGTCGAGGCCACGGGCACAAGCAGAAGTTGTCACACTGCTTTATCCTAATGATCTGGTGGCAGAGCGTTTGATCTAATTAACGCACACAATTAAATTACCCCTTTTCTGGAGTGCTCTAATAAGGCAGTATTTAGAAAACACTGCCAAATATAAAAGCAACCATTTATAACATGTGCTACAGCAGATCAGCTCCAGGAACTTCCACGCTGGTTCCAGGCAAAGTGCTCTCAGCGTGGCACAGTCACCCCACATCCAGTAAGGGGAGGCATAAAACTGCCTCAACCAGTGTGCCTGGGAATTTGTGTTCCTGGGGAAAGTCTCCCAGCAGGCAGGATGGTTAACACCAGTGGAAGCAATTTAATTGCAAAAATTCAAGCTTAAGAAGCATCCAAAAGGACCTTCCCAAAAAGCAGAACTGCAGCAGGGGAGCAGTGGGAATTCAAACCTGATGAACAGCCCTGTAAAAAAAGGATATATTTTCTGCTTCTCCTCGTTGTACAACACGTCGACCAGCTGGATGACGTTTTTGTGCCGTAATCGCCGCAGGAGCTGGATTTCCCTGCAGGAAGAGACAAGGAAAAAAGTCATGTTTAAAAAGCTAATTTCCCACTCCACTTCTCCCAAAATCTAGCCCAAACTTAACTCGACTGAATGGTTCAGAGACCTGAATCCTCTGTTTGTGGGGAATAACCTAAAACAGCACAAACACCTTCTCTTGGCTCGGAGAACGGCCCCTCCTATGTCAGCTCCTGTCAGCTGGTCTGATCTTTGTCTCCTGGGATTTTGCACCTGCCCCAAACCACATTTTAGTCTCTTTTGCATTAAACTCAGCCTGTGAAATCCCACTGGCTGCCAGCTGTGGAGAAACAGGCGGATCAGGACAGTCAGGTCAGGGTGGTTCTGTCGGTGTCTGGCACTGCAGGTCCCGCTGCTGCTCCATGCTGAGCTGTGCTGAACTCCACAGAAACTTGTGCTAAACTCCACAAACTCTCCATCTCACCTCCCCTCCCGTGCCATTTGGCGAGTGCTTTGAGCAGTGTGGTCACACTTCATCAGCTCCAGCTCTCGGAAGCAGCACTACAAGGAATTCCAAGCACAGCTTTGGAAACGAGAGCCCCAGCCCAAAGCCAGCCCAAAGCCCCTCACCATTCACAGCTCCAACAACAAGCTGGGTCAGCACAAAGCTTGGCTGGTGCCTCACATCTGAGTAACAACCAGGAACTGCTCCTTGGAAAGGCTCCTCCAACACAGGAGTGCAAGGAGAATCCTTCAGGATCTTTTAAGAATACTTGAGCAGTAGGAATCACTTCACTAACAAAGTTTAGCCCAGGGACTTTTCCTTTCTCAACTCTGGATTTAAAAAGGCCACTGAGAGCTGAGCAGAGACCCAGGACACCATGGGACAGCCCCCCAGTGTTCAGTGGGCACAGCAGACAGGTCTAATTATAGGAACAACCAAAGGGCTGAAGTGGATTAAAGCAGCACAAGAACTGCAGCCAGTGCTTGTGTGGGGTGAGGAGATCCTGCAGCACAGAGGGAGAGGGCCGAGGGATCCAGCTGGGATGCTGGGAGGGAGGAGAGCACACACACTCAAACACAACTGCTTTAAGGCAAAGCAAGCTGCCAATACCAGGGACACATTTAAAACCCTGATCCCAACAGCTCATTCCCTGCAATACAGCTCAGAAGCACAAACACTAATTCCTTCCACCTTCAACAGACTGAAAAAATATCTCATATTTCTGCAATGATTTCCCCCCCCCAGAGGACTTTATGAACCCATCCAAAATGCCAGGGCAGTGCCCCCCCTCTGGGGCAGAGGCCAAGCAGCCCTTTTCCCAGAGGAAAGATTACTTCTATTTTTAGCTCCTCTTGCACTCTGGAATGCCTGAGGAGCAGGGACAGCCAGCCAGTCACCTCCGATCCCATTTTGCTTTGCAAACCCCACGAGCAGGGGAACTCACCTCCTCAGAACGGGCCTAAAGTTGGTTTTTTTTCCCCAAAATTAACACCAAAACCCCAGCCCAGCCCACTGCAAGTGTGTGACCAGACAGACTGCCAGAGGGCAGGGCCTGCTTCCAAGTGCAACCTCCTTTGAAGAAGACGAGGAGGGAAAAGACCTTCTAACTGGAGCTCTGTCAGATCCATTAAGCTCATCCTGGTAGATTAAGACTTATCCCCTGCAAGGTACCTGCTCTGGCAAATAACTGGGGGCTGTAGCAGCTCAGAACTGCATATAGCAAAGCTGCCTACTTGCTCCATTGCCACACCATTCTGGAAGTTGCCAAGGACAGCCTGGAAAGAAGTTCCTTCCTGGACATCTCCACCAAGATCCAGCGTTCTTCCCACAGCTTGTTCCTGGTCTCACAGCCATTCCTGCTTAAATAAAACCCAGCCACACAGCCAAAAGATTCACTCCCTTCCTTTGGTTCACGAGGTTCCTCCAATAAGGTCCTAAAAGCTTAAGAGCAGGCCCCTGCCTCAGGACTGGACGGGAGGACCTTGGTGCTGCTTTTTCTCTTTTCTAGTCCCAGGGCTCTGTCCATATTCCTGCAGGGATGCCTGGCATTCCAGGCTCTATATCCATCACAACACAGCTACCTGTGCTCTTCCATGGATTACAGCTCCCAGGGTTTCTGGGAACAGCCAAGCAAACACCCAGCCCAGCAGAGGATCCCCCTGAGCCAGGCGGCTCCAAAGGGCCCCATGTCTGGGGAGGAGGGACAGGGATCAGGAGCAGCAGCTGCAGCCCCACCTGAGCCCCCACCTCTGGGGCTTCCAGCAAGTCCGTGCCCAGCAGAGCTGACCCTGCTGGGAGGTTCCAGCTCGGTTCCTGCAGACCCCAGGAACAAACTGTCACAGCTCCGTGCAGGGAGCAGGGATTCCAACCGGAGCAGTCCCGAGGTGGTGAGCACAGCACAGGGCACTTGGGATCCCCCAGAGCCCCAAACATTAATTAACGTGTGAGGTTATTAGCGTGTGGCGTTATTAAACCTCTGCTGCTGCACACACAGCCTGCCAAGTTTGCCTTCCTCTTTGCAGCAATCCCACTAAACTCCTGTTCTGCAGGGATCAGCCCCAGCACTGTCTGCCTGCCTGAGCCACCTCACTTCACCTAAAGCAACCGAAGGGAAACGAAGATTCCCTCGGTGGATTTAAGGAAATGTGTGTCTTACAAGTTTAAACCCTCAACATCCTCCCCAGGACTAGGACATTCCTTCAGGACTCATTTTTCCGGGGCAAAACTGGAGTATTCTAGGGTAGAGAAAAATCATTCAGTTTGATCTAAGTCCCAAACACATTTTAGTCATAATTTCTGGGTCTCCAGAACATCAGGAGACAGGGCTGGGACAGGAGGCTGCACGTGTGGGATGAGGCTTTGGTATGGGATATGAGCAGGGAGTGACCCACAGAGTGACCCAGGGATGGCATTGATGTCCCAACTCCAGCCCCACATCTGCAGGTGGCTCAGACCTGCCCAGTCCTCCACAGCTCTGTGAGGGAGCAGAGGCACAAGCCCACCACAGTAACTCAATCACCTCTGTCCAACAACCCAAGTTTCACAGCTTTCACTTCCTGAGCTGAAGGGTCTGACAAGCTCAGAGTGCCATAGGCCCAGGGGCCCAAAAATACAAGAGTTTGCCTTAAAATTCTCCACTGAAGCAGTAGATAAAGATCACAAATGGGTGGGTAGAGAGGAAAGCATGAGGGGACAGAAACAGGAACTTGAACTAAAGTCAACCCTGGGTACAAGACAACACCTAAAATCTGCCTTGGTGTTCTGGAGCAGGTGGGGCTGAGCCAGAAAACATCCACAGCAAACCAGGGAGGGGCTTGGCTAGTCTGCTTAATAACCCCCTTAATGACCCCCCTGACACTCACAGCCCCGCTCTGGGCATGAATAAAACTTCCACGGAGTTCACCCCAGGACACAGGAGCGTTCCCATGGCTCAGAGCAGGGAACTCTCCTGGTGTGGGCAAGTTCATTTTATCTAATTTACATGAAAAGTTTCCCCAAGGAGGAAGCGATCTCCCTGTTCCTCAGTGGCAGCTCTGGATGTGCCCATGGAGGGACGGGGGCACTCAGCCTCTACCAGAAAAACAAGAAACATTTTATTACACATTAACGAAGTTCACTCTGATCCTGAACCTGGGCCAGGAAGGGAGGGACAGGGAGGTCCCGGCCTTGGGATGTGACTGTTCCACAGCCAAGGCTGTCAAGGAAGGTTGGAAGGCAAAGTGAGAGCTCCCTGACAGCAGTGCTGGGACAGGATGTGAAATATCCCACAGCTGAACTGGGAAACTCAACCCTGGGTGAGAGACAGACACGGGGCTCTGCCAGGGCAGGGCTCACCCTCAGCTGAGAGGCACAAGAGGCTCCTGGAGCTCTCAGAGCCCTCCCTCCCAGCCCAGATAAACCCTGGCCGGGTTGTTTGGGCTGCAGAGGCTCCTGCATGGCAGATAAGCAGCTCCTGGCAGGGCTGGGACGCAGCTGCTGCGAGGTCCTGGAAGGGAAAGTTCCCTGGGCAGCCCCACAGACCTGGCCCCTCCCAGGGCTGCCTTCCACAAGGTCCTTGTGCCCGGAGTAACGGGGTGTCGGAGCTTCCTGAGCACAGCTCTGGAGTCACTGACACCAGAGAGGTCAACAACCCTTGGCCCTGTTCTACAGCGTCAGAAATCAGCTGGGGAGAGCCTTGAACGTGTCCCAGACACCTCAGAAATGAAACCAAGGGAAAAACCCAAAACTTCCTGTGCCCATGGGGTGCCCCATACATTGGATCCCGTTCCAGGCACCTTCCACAGGGGTGGGAGCAGGAACTGCCACCCCAGAGAGCTCCAGGGCCACACACACTTGGATGCAATAACTGTGACCAGAGCAGGTGTGTTTGTGCCCCCTCACCCTTCCCTGGGCAAGGCGAGACCTTGGAGAGGGACTGCTTTAGGAAACACTATTTAATCCATTAAGCAACACCAAAGTGGTGTGTTCCAGACAGTCCTGGCCCACAGGAACCCGCCCCTTTCCCTGTGCCAGCCTCACCCAGAGCACTGGGCGCTGTTCAGTAGGAAGATTCCTGAACACTTATGGCTTAGGAAGCACTTCCAGAGCAGGAAGCCACGGCTTAGGAAGCCCTTCCCCATCAGAGAGCCACGCTGCCAGCTGAGGTCACAGAGGAGCTCAGCTGCAGAACAAGCACCAAGCCCACCCCCCATCCCCAGGACCGTCCACTCACTTTTTCACGTTGGCCTCCCCGTTGGGGATCCGGCGCAGCTTCTTCTTCTTCAGGATCTTCACGGCCCTCCTGCACAGGGTCTCCGAGTCCAGCATCTCCTTGACTTTGCCGTAGGAGCCCTCCCCCAGCAGGTCTCCCATGAGGTACTTGCCGATGAGCTTGGCCCGTTTGCGCCGGGGCTGGTAAATGACCTCGGTGGAGTCGATGCGGTGGATGAACGTGTCCATCCCCACCGACATCAGCTCGCCCTCCGCAAACATTCCCAGCTGCTGGGGCTCCTGCAGATCCATCCTGGATTAAGTTCCTTAACCTGTTTTCCCCTTAAGCACTCAGGGCTTTAATCCTGTTTAATGTTAAGTTTCCAACACTCCCTTTTTACTCCTTCTCAGGGAAAGGAAA